GTGAATAAAAGAATGAAAGGCTCCATGAGAGCATGTATCCTTTTAATGAATGTATTATCATTGTTTTATATTGTCAATGTTTTCTGGATTACTTGTTATTACATGATTAATGTCCTTGGTTAAGTTGATTGTGTGTCCGGAACCTCACTGAGCTTGTAACTCATTCCGTTAGTTTTGTTTTCCTTAATAGGGGATGCGCGCAAGGACGAGAGATCTGTACAGACTAGCCAGTCTAGTTCTTTTGAATTTGTGTAATGGTTCTCGCCCTAGCTCTTGGCAAGGGTTGGCTGTATGAAGAATTGAGAACCGTTGTACATTTGGGTTTGTACTACTTTTGATAGGGAAATATATGTAAGTATACATTCTGAACTTGGAAAATGTTATTTCGTTTATTATTGAGGATCGTACCCTATGTTTGGAAGTGAGTGATGTAATTTATTTGAGAACTGTAGTGAGCCCCGGCAAGAGTTGGGCAGGCGACCCGCCGAACGCTGGGGTACGCCCTAGGGGAAGGTGGGGCCGTCACAATCATTAATCTAAATAGTATGGTCAAAAATTTTAAATATATTTACCCTTTTATATATATAATTAAAAATAAAAAAGTTGGAATGATTATTCTTATTTTTTTCACTTTAAGAGATCCAAAAATATAAAAATAAAAGGGTTTTTTCAAAAAAAAATTTCACATTTATTAATACTAGGAAAACGAAAAGAGATAGGAAAGAAGGAGACACAAATTTAGATTTTGCAAAGAAAAAAAATAAAGAAAAGTGTAACATTATCGTATAAATTTAAGGTGTTGAGATTAGGATTAAAATCTAGTGGTAAACAGTAAAGTAAAATAATTTTAAAATAATAAAAGTATTTAATTCTTTTTTATTTGCATTTAAAAAAAAGAATTGAGCTCTCTCTCTCTCCCGATCTTTCTATTTTTTTTTAATATTAATAAAATTACCAAGAAGAAAGAGATTAATACTTTGATTTGTTTTGTTGATACTAAAGAGGAGAAGAGTCACTCTAAATTTTTTATTGTTTTTATTATACAAAGAGGAGGATACTTTCTTCTAAAGTTTTTTAACTTGTTAAGTTGGTTTAATGGTGGGATAAATTGCTTAAAAAATAACTCTATGGGGTAAATTAATAATAAGGCTATAGTTTTATAAGGGTAATGTGATAATAACTTTAAGGGCTAAACTTATCTTTTTACTTTAATTAACAAACTCCGTTAACTTTGACCGTTAGTTTTGGGAGTAAAGTGACTAAAAGATAACGTTAAGGGGGAAATTGATAGTGACATCAAACGTTAAGGGAATAAAGTGATAATAACCCGAATTTTAATCGCCAGGGAAGTGGAGGGGATAGTTCAAATTATAGCTAATGTAAGCAGACTTTAGTGCATTTAACCTTTAAAATTCTCCTTGCAGATTTTGTTATGGTTCAAAACCCGCATATGTAATTAAAATAGAATCTAGGGGGTATTTATTGGTGCACCCCTCTCATTAAGATGAGTAACGCCCCTTCATCCCTTTATATAATTAGTATAGGTGCTGCCTTGTTTAAATAAAATATAGGCAAACCATTAGCTGAGACGGGTGGCCGCGGTTCAATTTGAATCGAAACTTCCGGTTGAGGTTGAGGTTTACCAAAAATTTGAATCGAAATCGGAACTAGAACTATAGATATAGGATTGATTCAAACCATCTAAAAAAACACGTGTTATCTAAACCTATTTAGTCAGTTTAGAATTCAATATCAATAGTCAATATCCAATACCAGCAACTCTCACTTCTAGTCCAACAAACCATTGTCCCATCTCATTAAGTAAATCTAGACCCCATATCTAATCTAAATCCTATACCAGTACAATCTTATCAATAATGAGATTTTTTTTTTATAAAATTTTTCTACATTCATTGTCATATTTTCTTATAATCAATTTTATAACAGCAAATGTTTAAGCATAACTAGAAGAATCGAAACCGTAATTGAATTAGAATCATAATCGAAGCCAAATTAGAATCGGAGGTTCAAGAATTATAACTATAATATCCCTATAATGACCAGTTTAGGTTCTATTCCTCAGAAGGACCAAAACAGTCAATTTTTAATCCCGAATCAACTGTTCTAAAACCATGACCAGGCCCAGCTCTAAGTAGGGGCAAGGTGGACAAAACATTTTCTCAGCTCAAGAGAACACTCTCTCTCTTGACCTTTTCTTACAGAAGTAAGAAATTCGGCTTTTATAAATCTAACTCCCAGAAGAAATTCGGCTCAAGAGAACACTCTAGTAGTCCAAAAATAACAAAATAGGGAAACAAAAGTGAAAATTGTCATACTTTTTCCAATGTTTTGAAAACCGGATCGGACCGCCCGGTTCGACAGGTTGAACCGCGAACCGGCCGTGGCACCGGTCCGGTTCTATGCTTTGGTTGACTTTGCTAGAGAACCGGTCAAAACCGTGAAAGCCGGTGAACCGTGTTGAACCAGATTGAACCGGTTTTTGAGTTTCCTTTTTTTTTTTTTTTTTTTACTTTTTGCAAAATGCTTCTAACAAAATTCGAACTCAAGACCTTTGCAATAGAAGACCAATGTAGTAACCATTGCACCATCACATTTTATTTGCTTTTTTTGATAACTTATTTATATAAAACAAACATCTATATTTCATTTTTCCATTTTTCTTACAAAACTTCATCCTCTCATGACTTTTTCTTTTTAATCTTCAACTCTTTCTTTCTCTCTCATCTTTTCTTTTGTCACTCCATTTTTAATCAAACCTCATTAGTTTTAATTTATTGATGTTTTCTTCTATCTTTTAATTTTGTTTTTGTCCATTAAATTGGAAAAAGTTAAAAAAGAATTATTTTTCTTTAACCCAAATTATTTAATGCCACAATCACTCACTTTTATCTCATTTTTTGTTTCTTATCAAGTTTGCATTTCTATTTTCAATTCTCTTAACTTCTTTTGAACTTCAAACTTTCTTTTTTAAATTACAATCTTTAAATCTCAAAGACGTAAATTAAAATTTAAGTTCACAATGTCAAATTTTCATAGACGTGAATTTTGTATAATTTCAAAATATTGTGATATTTTTTAGTTGGATTTAAGATTTTTTTTGGTAGATATAATTGAAATTGAGATGAAATTTATTTGTTTTAACTTATAATTTTAAAAATTTATTTTTGAAAATCCAAATTATTCAAAAATAGTGAACTTTTCATCATATAAAGTTTTAAATTAGTCCATTGCATGTCTTATTTTGTGCATATATATATTTATATAAATTATTTTTAAAAAAATTCATTGAACCGAGGTTGAACCGGTCCGACCGGTTGAACCTCGACCCTTTCACCTCACCGGTTCAATTGACGGTCCGGGTTTTAAAACATTGACTTTTTCGTAAATTCCACTCCAACTTCTAAATTCCACACGCGAAAGCAGCTATCAATTTGAGGGAAACTTCTGCAGTTGACTAAGACTTGCTCGAAATAGACCGGAACGTCTATGGTAAAATGCAACAAGTTTCTTAACCCTAGCCAATGAAATTATGTTGCGCCACGCACGAAACTTCTGCTTAAATGTAAGTCTTTTTGTTGACCTAATTGTCAGTCAGTCAACGATTATTTAAATGTTTACGTCAATTCATTATCCCCTGGGTGGGAAATAAATCACATTACTGTATTTTAAATCGTGCTTGCACTCGGTAATCTATTTTGGAAAAAATAAATAAGAGGGTATTTAGATGTAGGTCCACCAATAAATTACTTACTGATGAAGATAAACATACTTCTCAGTTTTCACACCTATGTAAGATGAATAAACCAAACTAAACCATAATTCTTCCCAGAAAAAAAAAATAAAAAGATTAGTGAATAATATTAATAAAAAAAGAATTAATTTTTTTTTACATTGACAGTGTATATACCATCACCATTTGATGCATAATAACTTATCTGAATTTAAATTTAAAATTTAAAAAAGATTTACTATCAGTGTTATGCATCTCATTCGTAATAGTATATACACTATCAATGTATATAAGATTTACTCAATTTACTCAGAAAAAGAACGTGTATAAATATTGTGCCCGACTTCAAATAGCCTCATGCTGCTTTCTATTTTGATTTGCTTACCACAAATTATAATGAAAACTAAAAAAAGCTAGTCCACAATAAATAGGACACTGACATTGACATACTGTAGGCTTATTGGCTCATGCAAGTTTTCTTAATCTACAGATCCATTTGAATTGGCCATTTTTTCAAAAACAAGTTTTTCAAATATAATGATATAGTAATACACAAATAAAAATAACTTAAAAACATCTCATCTATATAATATTTCAAATATTTCAAAAACAATTATAATAAAAGTTTTTCTATACACTACTACAGTAAAATTTTTTAAAAATACCTCAAAAATAACTAATTTAAACAGAGTAAGTGCCATAATTGTGGGTTAAACTCCATTTATTGTGGGTGAATTAAGAAAGTGCCATAATTTTGGTTGTTGGTCAAACTCCATTTTGAGTAAAAATCAAACGTCCTTAATCAAGATGACAAAAAACATAAAAATGGACTCGCTTTTTGTATTGTAGTAAAAACTCGTCACTGTAAAGACTTCCTACCCAATATCTTCCAGCAGCAATTCGATTCCCACTGTAAATTTCCAACATCTTTTAAGACTTGATAACCAAACAAAACCGATCAGAATAATCATACCCTCAATTTTTTCTGTTTTAATTTAATCCCTTTTCTATATTTCTTTTTTTTTTTTTATGTACATATAGTTTCGAAGTCTTCCACCCCTATTAGAACTTTCGTTCTAGTCTCCAACCTACATCTACTTCACTGTTCTTTGTCCCACAACCTAGCAACGGTTTTCATCCTTTTCAGGGTTTCCGAGCATTAACAGTGTTGTCGAACATATTCCCAAAACTTAAACTACGGTTATCATATTCTTTAGGGTTCTTCTGAGTTTCATAGGTGTGTTTAAACATGGAGGAGTACGTTGATTGCGAGTGGGAGGAGTACGTTGATTGCGAGGATTGCGAGTGGCAGGAGTACGTTGATTGCGAGTGGGAGGACTATGTGGTTATCCACCGGAGGTCCGAGGATTTCAAAGTTCCCACCGATGATGATGAGATTGATGTCGCAGCCGCCGGCGAAGAAATGGATGAAGAGTGCTACGAAGTCCCAGTAAATCGTGTTCTGGAAGCCTGCGAAAGTCGTTTTTCAAAGGGTTTTCGAGTTTTGAATCAGGAAGGTATTCTTGCTCGTGTTCAGGATGATATTGCGAAGCTTTCGAGTGTTTTATCGCTTTCCGAGGAAGCGACGACCAGGTTGTTGTGCAAATATGGTTGGAACATTGAAAATCTTTGCGACCAGTGGTTTCCCGATGAAGACAAAGAGAAAGTTTGGAAGGTTTTTGGTTTACTGGGAATAAATCCAATCGGTGATCAATCTGAATCTGCTGCCGGATTTTCTGGTGATTATCTTGTAGCAACTTATATGGGATTAGGCCGGAAAGGGTCCATGAGGTGGTGTCCTGCAGGTTGCGGCCGTGCGGTTGAAATTCTTCTGGGGGAAACAGGTGGGAGGACTTATGATGTTACTTGTGATTGTACACGTGAATTCTGTTGGAATTGTTTAGGGGAGGCTCATAGCCCGGTAGATTGTGAGACTGTGGATAGATGGAAAAAATGTCCTGAATCCCAAAATATGAATTGGGTATTAGCTAATTGTAAGGCTTGTCCATCATGCAACAGACTACTGGAGGATGCTACTGCAGGTATGCAAGCGATTTGTCCATCACCTTGCAATTATGAATTTTGTTGGCTATGCTTAGGTCCGTGGTCGGACCACGATACGACTGCAGATGGATATTACACTTGTAGATTCTACGACGATGTGAAAAAATCCGATGAGTTGGACGAAACTGAGAAAGAAAGGGAGAGGGCTAGGATTTCTTTGGAGAAGTACAGGTATTGTCACGAGAGATGGAGTACTCATGATGAATGGAGGCAAATAGCTTTGTTGGATATGCAAGAATTGAAGGCAGTGCATCTTAAGAACCTGAGTCAAGTTCAGAATCGAAGCGAAGACAATTTGGAGTTTATCATTGATGCTTGGGATCAGATTGTGGAGTGTAGGAGAATTCTGAAATGGGCTTATGTCTATGGCTATTATATACCAGATGATGATCAGTGGAAGATGAACTTTTTCGAGTACGTGCTAGATCAAGCCGAGGCTACTTTGAAGAAACTCCATCAATGTGCACAGACTGAACTGCAAATTTACCTCAAAGTTCCTTTGGAGGATTTTGATGGATTTCGAGTGAAATTGTCTAAGTTGACTTCGGTGACTCGAAAATACTTTGATAAATTGGTTGGAGCAATAGAAAATGGTCTTCTGATGCAGATTCAGAAAGTTGCAAGATAAGAAGCCTTGACGAAGATCTGAAATGAGTTTTAGCAGCTGTTGCAAGGTTCTGATTTCTTCCTTCAGTTATGTAGATACAATTAGGTTGTTTAGGTTCTCTTCTCAGTTTGGTATTTAGTTTTCAAGTTTGTTTGATCAACTACATGAGCATACTGATTAGGGAATCTGTTTATTGACTGTTTTTTACATGGTAATAATAATGTCGTTTGGATTATTAGTTTGTTGGTTTTAGACATGTTCAAGATTGTTGATGGGGTAGAAAGAATAGGACCTAAAATGCCTGAGTCCAGCTGCTTGAAGGGTAAATAAATAATTGTTTAATTTATTTGTTTAATTGGAGTGATTTATACACTTCTGAGGAATATCTGTTGGAATTACCCTGCATAAATTGGGGTAAAAAAATGGGGCTTTTGTCTTCACTACGTGGTCATCACGAAAAGATAATTGCACTTAACAAAATATTTATTAAGACCAAGTCATCACAATGAATGTCACTCTCAAAAAAAAGAATAAAAAAAAAAAGGCCATCACTTGATGGAGGTTGTTGAATCGACCATTGAATTTTTTTTTTTTTGGATAACGACCGTTGAATGGTTTAAATCAAGAGAACAAGTTGTATTTAATCATAGCCTTTACTCCAGCCTATTTTTTTCCTAGTCAAGCATCCAATTTATTCTATGTATAAATTTGATCATCTTATTACAACTCAACTAGCTCGTGCTACCCAACCATCTCTAAAGTAGTTAGCCACCAATGAGAGAATTAAATCTTTTCATTGATTCCTTTGGATCCACCCCTTCCCTTCCGTGCAAATTAGTGCTTAGTAAGTATAGAATAGAAATAAAAAAAAAAAAAAAAAAAAAACTTGTCTTAATTTAAATTTTTTAAAAAAAAAAAGCTTGACATCTTGACTTGCTGAATCTTTTATATTTCTAGGTTGGCATCATGTTTCACGATCAAGACTTTTCCCTTTTGTCTTTTTCTTCTCTTTCCCCTTCTCACGCGCAAGACTAAGTTGAGGCTGGCTGCTGTAGAGCTTTTGTCGTTGCTACATTATCCATATTTCCTTTCCTCCCGTCCGTGCCTCTCATTGGTGATGCTGAGTCAGTTAACACTCTTGCCTTAGACACCTGGGGTCCTCACCTTTAAATGTTACTCTCTCTGTCTTAGTCACTTGGAACTTTTTTTTTAAGTGCCAAAAAAGGATTACATAGGTAAGGATGCATCATTTAATCACAAAAGAATATGTTCTTCAATCTTATTATCAAATGTGAGGACTGTGTTACCTATTGTTTCAAGGCCTGTTTTAATTCGTAGTGATAAACTGTAGTTGAAACTATCTAATATTTGAATCCTGTTGTGAATGTAATAATTATGTTAATGATCGGTTTATGATAACAAGACTTTTTTTTATCCATGATGGTAATTATAATTGAAACCATTTAATAATATTTATTTCATGTTGTTAATGCGAGAATTGTGTTAATGAACAATCTATGATTTCAAGGCATATTATAGCCCGTAATGATAACTACATTCGAAACCATCCAATTTTTTGAACCCAAAATAAAAAGTCCCAAATAGCCTTGCTCTTCAATCATACTACCTGAAGACTGAGCTTTTTTTTTTTTTAATTATCTGTATCCTTGTACTGTGTGTTGAACTATCCTCCTATAACTTAATCTAGCCTAGTCTAAGGGGAAGGGGAAAGGGTTCGATGTGAGTACAGACTCCATCGATGAAGGTCAATTAAGACCGCCACAAATTGTGGCAAATTTGTGAGAGGCAGGGATTGAACCCCTGACCTTCAGCATCACCTTTAATGGTGATGACCACTGGACCAAATGGCCAGTGGCTTGCAAAACTATTTCTGGCTACGGTGGAATGTGAACATTATGGGCAGAACCAATACGAGAAAGGCCAATACTGCTTGGTGGGGCCGGGTAGAGGGAGGCAGCCTGAAGATGTGCCATGAACAAGTAAGGCCAGCTGCTTGCGGAATCAAACAATAAGAATGCAATTCACGTGCTCGGTTAAAAAAAAAAAAAAAAAAACTTTTGATATTATAGGGGAAGCCCTTTTGCAAATTTAGTCATCATAAAATGGCCCGATAATTAGAGATATTTTGGAAACTCTCCAGATATTTGAATCTTCTTATTATGTGAGGACTGTGTTACTTATGGCTCCAAGCATGCTTTACCTCGTAGCGGTAATTGTACTCGAAATTACCTAATATTTGAATTTTGTTGTCAATGTAATGACTATATTAATGAGTCACCAATGGTCCCAAGACATGTTTTAACTAATTGGAGTAACTATAGTTGAAATTATCCAATATTTGAATCTTATTGTTAATATGAGGATTGTGTTAATGTGCGACTTACGATCCTAGGCATGCCATAGTCTGTAGTGATAACTATACTTGAAACCACCCAATTTTTAACCAAAAAAAAAAGTCCCAATTAGCCGTGTTTTTCAATTATTACTGCCTCAAGACTGAGCTCTTTATATATATATATATATATATATATATATATAATCTGTATCCTTTTAGTGTGTGTTGAACTCTCCTCCTAATTGTGTTATTTTCACATAAACTGTGTCGTTTTAATGTTTGTTTCCTCAGTTTGCAAAACATATGGTATGAATAGTCATGTACAAAATTCCAAAAGCAAAGAAGGAATAGAAGCTTTTCCAAAAATACCACAAACTATCAAGGCTCTGGAACAATATCATCGGTGCTTTTTTTTTAGCTGTTAGGGTAAAAGTACAACAAGGTTACAGTTATTCTCTTTCTAAAAGAATGACAAAATGTCCCCACTTGTTAGACATGTGGAGCCAGGATTCTGTTTTTAGGTGCAAGGAATTCTTGCGAGGCATTAAAGTATGACTTGATATTTTCTTTGGGCACAAGGAATTCGTTAATGCCTTACAAGTCATTAAAGTGTGACTTTTGTTAAATTAAGTTCTTACTAGTCGATTAGAACTCTAAAACCATTGGCCATGTACTGTACTAGTCAATTATGTATTACCTCCATAATATGTTTCTTTCTTTAGTAACTTTTAGCAGATTACTTATAGGCACATACACATTGACTTTCTACAAATAAGTGGGGGGTACAAACGAAATTTTTCTAAAAATCGACACCAAAACTAACATTTTTTTGGGTCAACTGGGACATATTTACACATTAGTATGGTAAAACAAAATTTTGTCTTTAAAAAATCCCGTACCTAAAAGGCTAAAACTGACATTTTCCTTTGCTAGATCCTTGGATGGTCAATATTATATTTTCTCTTCACATTTATAATGCATTTGTAAACTACAAAAATTCATTGAAGTCGAAAATTTTTATTTTGTTCTGAGCCATAAGTTCCACTTATCGTAAGCAAAATTTCTCCAACTAGTGGAGGTAGCACCTTTGGCAAAGGGATCAATGTTGTAAATATCCTAAGGAGCTAATATAATCATGGAAAAGTTGTTGCCAAAGTGAAGCAGTTGAAACTTCAAAGTAGTGATTGGATTAGTGATTTATTTTGATATAGTGGAAGCAAAATTTGGTTATACAATATACGATGGGGGGGAAAATGGCGACACTATTTATATAGAATTATAGGGTTTCTGGTTAAAGTCGGTTAAAGTTTGACTAGGATGCATTTGATAAAATTGAAATCTGAAAACTGAAGTTTGAATTTATTAAATTATTAAATTGTTAAGTACTAAATTTGATACATTTTAGTATATATTAAATTACTTAATTAAGTGAATATAGTGTCATTTAATTAATTCAGATGTTCTATTTTTGTTTATCAAATGTGTCGGAATATATTAAGATTTGAACCCATTAAGTTTAAGTGTTGAATTGATTTATCAAATAGGGCCTAAGTTGTTGCTATATATATTGTAACGTCATCTTTTTTTTTTTTTAGTATAAGTGGAAGGTCTCGAATCTCAAATCTCTCAATTACACTTCTTCTCTGTACCACCTATTCAATCTCCCTCCCGAGGACACCCTCCTTTAATTTTATTAATAACCAAAATTCAGGAAGGGGACATAAACCTGTCCTCAAAAAAGTACAGTGGGAGATTAAGTAAAGCATAAGAAATTTACAAAGAGAAACTAACGTTACACTCCTGAGATACTAAGAAAACCGTAAAGATGGTAGACGAGATCTATCACTTTTAACTTGTCCCCATTAATGTTTAAAATTGTTGGAAAGCAAGAGAACCGGCTTATTTGCTTCAAGATAGCAATGAGAAATTTCAGGAAAGATATGCCTATAACTGATAAGCAAGTTTCTGAACCTCATGATAGATATGCCAAGGACATTTTGCTTAACCTCGAAGAATCGTCACCAAACTAAAGAATCAGCCTCCAAATGGATAAGGGAATAAGCCTGATCACCACATAAGAAAACACCAAACAATAATGCCTTAGCTTCAGCTTGAATGCTAGTTAAATTCCAAACGAGCAAGAGTAAGCTAAAAGGAACCGACCATTTGAATCCCTCAACAGTCCACCACCTTTCCACTCATTCCTGCTGGATTCCCTCTGGAGCACCCATCAGCGTTGAGCTTTACCATATTTACTGCAGGACAGCAACATTCCACCGAAAGAAGACGAGATGGTTTAACAGAACAACGTAGAGAATTCAGAAATTGAGGCCATGAAGTGGGATCATAATGAACACCTTTAAACTGAAGAGAAAAAGCCTCTTCGAATTAAACTTTTTTTTCATCTTTTTATTTTTCCACTATTTTAACTTTCAAATTCCAATAAACTTTTTTGTTTGCAAAAAAAATCATAATATATGCTAAAAAAAAATAAAGCTTGTAATAACTTCCATTTGTTTCAATAAAAACAACTTGAGTAGTATAGCTGATACAATAAAGAATTTGTAGTATAGTTGATACAATAAAGAAGATGTATATTTTTTAGCAATGAAAGGAAATAATATTAAATTATTGATAATTTCATGAATAAAAGATCAATAATATC